TAAAGAATGGCTTGCCTCCTGAAAAAATTGTTATTCTCACACCCCTACATGAAATTCAAATTGCAATAAAACGCTTTCTTAACTACTACTTATGTGAAATGTGGTCTCAATTGAAAGTATGGAAGAATTTTTTCTGATTGTGATAACTGATGATAACTGCAACTTCTAAAGGATTAAAACTGGCAGAGTGTTAAGGTTAGGTTTGGGGTTAAGCTTAGAAAATAATTATTACATATAATTATTACATACATAATCCATATGAAACGTAAAGAACTTTTAACGTTTAATATTCATCATGAATGATGAACAGAGCTATAGCTGATGTACCATTGAGAATGAAGTTATAATACATTTAACATGCAGAGTACCTGCATATTTTAAAAGTTCTGATCAAATCTTAGGTGGACTTGACTGAGGCTGGATTATCATAAAAATATAATATATAATATCCTATAGTATTGTATTGTAAAAATAATATAATAACTCCCTGAAATACTGTTTTCGGTGTCTAGTTTTATTAAGATTAGTATCTACATTGTGTAAGTTTATCATTATATATTCAATATCACAACTTATTAATATAACAAATGATTTTAAACGTTTAAAGTGGTGGTGGACATAGTACATATGGGAGATATCATTACATTTAGGTACTTAAAGATATATAATACAAATGGGTCGTATTGTTGTAAAGGGGGTGCTCTCCTGCTCCGCTGTGTTGTTCCAAAGTTGGGCATAGTCAGACAGCAAAATGACCAGTTTCCCTTGTAAGTGGATGAATAAAGTATAGCTTAACTAACTTAACTTAGTTACATGTTTATATAATACCTATGGGACGTATCACCCCACATCCTAAAACAGTATAAAAAAACAAACCTGTATGTGTGCACAAATGTGTAGAAGTCTGTGGGTGTGTACAAGCGTATGTGTGTTTTGTCAAGTGTTTACGGTGTGTGTGGTTGAGTAAGTGTTTGCCGGCCCCTAATGGAAAAGCATTGTACCAACTTGTGGGGGTCACATGTATTATTCACGCAGCACAGCGCACACACTGCAGGGACCCATGTAACACACACCAGAGAATGAGAGCGACAGCGAGCAAGGGAGTTTTATTTCTGTGAGCGGGTGCTTGTGTGTAAGAGAGAAAGAGAAAAAGAGCTGTGAATCTCAGAAGGAGTGTGTGTACTGTAACACTTCTCCTACACTCAGTCTGTCAATATATCACTCACACACTGTATCAACTGTGCTCACACTGTGTGTGTGTGTGTGTGTGTTGGGGGTGGAGGGGTGGTTCTGGTCAGGCTTCATCAGGTTTTTGCTCCTGATCCTGATCAGAGTTTTTTAATGTTGAGTATTGATAGCAGGCGAGTCTGATCTGATTTCTGTATTTTTGTACATAATACAGCTGTATAGGGCACACTTCAAGTACTTTAGTTTGTATGATCCGGTTATGTAAGATGCTATGCTGCCATTTACTTTAAACTGCTCCCTTTGTAACCCCCTTTTTTAAATGACCATTTTGGTGTTTAATTAACATATACAAATTAGCTTTTTCTCAGTTTGAATATACATTTGAGTAAAAAGGGACTGACATTTCATCAAGCTAAATAAAACCAATACTGATCCATCACAATATTTTTCAGAAACTAAATCAAACTGTACTGTCTGCCACAACACGAATGAAAGTGTTATGAAGACAAAGTTATTATTTTTTGTGTTTTCTGTGAATGGAATATAGATTAGAAGGGGATTCCTTCAATGTCAGAACTTAGATACCCATGAAATGGTGATGTCTTTGGTGATCAATCTACTGTTATGTTAATTTTGTATCAAAACGACACATCACAGCCATTTGACCTGCAATTTTGTGCCCTGGTTTCTGTCAAAATATTCATCACTATACTAAAAAACAAACTTAAAACTTAATTTCCTTTTTTGGAAAACATAAAATAAAAAACATTTTAATGTACTATAAACTGAAATTAAACTGAACGTGAAAACCAAAATAAAACAAAAACTATTAAAAATTTCAGACAGAAATAACCACGTATATGTGACTAGAGATAGAGTATGTGTAGGGGTGTGTGTGTGTGTGTGTATGTGTATGTGTGTGTGCACTATAGAGACAGCATTTACACAGCAGCACACATAAGATATGAAAAGAAGAACTAAAGGACAACTTTGCTGTCTCTTTTTTTCTCTGAGGTAGATTCGGCCCTGCTGTGTTTAGCTGCTCTCCCACAGTGCTCCCCTACACTCCTCTTCCTCTCTCTCTCTTCCTCCTGCATGTCATCCTTCCATCACACTTCTGAACTGACACACACTATCACTCCAACCGTGTGAGCACACACATAAAAAACACTCTTGCTGGCCTTCTTCCTCAGACGATCATAAAATGTCTTCTCTTGTACTTACAGTCACAGATGTGGTGTCGATTGAAAGCTTACAATCCACACTCTTAGCAGAAGAAACAAAATGTAAGAAATGGCAATCTTGATGTATGTACACTATGATGGGTTAACACCTTAAATTACCAGGATTATCATCCTTAGGCTTCGGCTCCGTAATTACATGTTAAAAAAATCTTTTGTTATAGGAGTGTGGAAAAATGCCTGGATCCCCCAGTGGGCCATTTAAGGTGTTAAAGCATTTTGTTGCTGATAATGTTGAGCAGATGGCTACCATAAGTTTGAGAATCCTTATTAAGGAAAGGTTAACCTCAGTTAGTATTCCGTAGAATGAAGTTGCTATTTCATTTAGGGACATTTTTGTTACTGTCTGCATTTATTTCATTTGTCAGGTTAACAGATTCAGTTTAAGGCAGACAGTAAGAGCAGTTGGAAGGAATTAGCTAATTACACACAGTTTAGCTCCTGCACTTCCTCTGAGTGCTTGATAAGAGCAGTACTTGTTCTGTCACTTGAATTTAATTTCATTACAATCTACAATTTAAATGACATATTTTAGTTTTGATCACACTAGTTGACCTAATTACAGTTACAAATCACAGAGTAGTCACTGTGAACAGTAACAAGGCTGCATGTTTTGTCTATCCTCATTCTCACTGGGCATTTGCATCACCAGAAGCTTTTCCTTCATTTGAGTATTTAAGGTTTAATTATAATGAATAATAGAGGAAAATGACTAGTGACCAGTGCAGGGCAGTTGACCCAAAAAAAAACTGCCTTGTTTGCTCTTCCTCAGTTTCTCTGTTTGCTCTCTTTCAGCTAAGGTGGTGAAATAAACCAGATGTTGAATTTTTTTATTTATTTATTTTTTTTTGTAGCCATGGATGCCAGTGGACCCAGTACTATACAAAAAAAGGAATACACAGCACCGTACTGTTTTCTTTCCACCTGATAAACCATTAAACCCTCTTAAAACTCTCCTCTAATAAGCATCCATTTATACACAGTCACTATGGCAACGTTTCCATGGCTGCATGTCGCTGTCGGTCACATTCTGCTGTGAGGCACGAATTAACATTTTTTGCATTGCCAACATAAGTTTAAAATACATTTTTCTTTTATATTATTTATCCTTGAAATCTACTTATAATTGTTATGTGGATTTATGTAAAAACAAAACAGAATAGTTCATTTTCATATGACCTTTTTCTGACCTCTCTATCTCTATCTCTCTCTCTATTACAATTAAACAGACTGTTTTTCTTAGTCTGCCTTTAAGACTGTGATGTCTTCTGTTCTGATTGAATGAATTGTATTGCGCCTCGTTCAAAAGCAGTCCACACTGAAAGACTCTTCATAAACTTTAACGTGAATGGGTTGGGCTAAACTGCTGTTTGCCAAATAGATTATGTAAATATATTGGTTTTTGTGACATCACAAAAACAATGAATTCAAATCAGGCTGTTCATGCAACTTAGTTTCCTTATATGGACAGTTTGAATTGGGTAGTGATTGGCATGTTTTGAAGGTTTAAGAACATTTACATACCACAGCAAACTTTTTGTATTACAAAAGGGAAAGGAAAAGTTAGTCTTTCATGAAACCGGCCTTTTAATTCTTTAATGACAGTATCATGACTAAAAGAGGCTTCCTAAAATAAAAACTCCTAGATAGAAAACTTTGGCAAGCATGAAACTGACTCAGTGTGAGTGTGTGTGTGTCCTGAAGCCTTTGCGTGGTAAGCGTGAGCTGTGGGTCAGTGCTGAGATGAGAATATATTCCAGCGGTGTAATTCATTAATTTGCTGTTTGCCATCCGCCACTCGGCCGGAATAATCCAGCGGGAAGGGCCAGCGCGCTTTCTGCCGGCGAAGGAAAATTGGATTTTGGATGAGCGATCGCACAGCTTAAAGCTCCACCAGCGGCCTGTCTGTTAAACACACTTCACATCACACACTCTCTGCTCACAGGCAATGTGGAGTTACAAGCAGAACTCATACAAACACACCTTTAATCCAGTCTTTCTGTTTCCCCTCACTCTATATTACTCTCTCTCTCTCTCTCTCTCTCTCTCTCACACACACACACACACACACACACACACACACATAGTCCCTATATAACCTTTTAACACGCACACACACACACACACAAACACACACACAGGCGAATATACAAGGCAAGGAGCAGCATTTTGTATTAACATGGGTAATCATGTGCTTGAATGAGTCCTCTGAACAAACATGGCTAAAGCAGTTATGAAAGGGAGTGAGAGAGAGATGGAAAAACAGAGAGAGAGAGAGACAGAGAGAGAAACAGAGAACGGAGAGACAGAAACAGAGAGAGTGAGAGACACGAATTACCTACAATCTGCAATGTGGCCGCACAAAAAGGAGATACTAAAAGGATGAATAGCATCATTGTGTGTGTTTGAGAGAGAAAAATCAGAAATGTCTTAATCATGTTTGGCACTTGTCTGTGCTTTGACAGTTTTCTACTAAATCTAGTCATACAAAAGAGGTAAAGATTTGCCATTGTTACATCTAACTCTCTGTGTGTGTGTGTGTGTGTGTGTGTGTGTGTGTGTGTATTACAGCTCCTCTGACTGAAGAGCCTCCAAAGATCCTGTTCCCTTCTGAAAACAAACTCCTCACCTTGGACCTGCAGATAGGTAAGAGTGACCATTTAATCCAGAAGTGTCCAAACTTATGTGCAACGATTCGGTGTGCCTGCCAGTTTTCAGTCCAAGCAAGCCAGAGCGCACCTGATACCACTTGTTTAATCAGTTGTTCTCAGTCTTCAAATGTTAGTGACGCTTTGTTACTCAAAAAATGTTTTTATGGAGATGGATGGCTTTTTATAATGATATGCACTGATATTTGTGGCAAATGTTTTACCACAGCATACAGTTTACATTTTTCCATTGAAAGCTCAAGCTTTCCCAGTTTTTTTTTTTTTTTTACAAAGAAGTGATGTAGCTAAAAGAGATAACACATGGATATATTTAGAAAGCAATGGTATAAAATTTATATTCTGCATCTCTCTCATAAACTTTTGTATATAGTGTGTACATTGAAACTTTTAGTGTCGTGGCAAAGCTGGCGATGTACTGGCCACGTAGCTGTAGCTTAGCCTAATATTAGCTTCGCACACCACAGCATGGGTTTGATTCTAGCAAAATGACTCACTGACACAAGTTTAGAGGACAATGACTCAAATCTGCAAATGACAACATATCCAGACATCTCAAAATGCCTTGTAAATACTGCCTCAGTCTACACTTTGCAGAGGCTAAAAGCATTCCGATCATTAGAATTATTTATTCTGTCTGTGGAAGGGTCAGCAGTATTCTGTCTTTTGTACTTTTAGCTTTACCATCAGCTAGATCATCAGCTAGATTGTGATCTAAAATTAACCAATGTCCAGTTACTTTCAATTTAGATGAGTTGACATCATAGACTGTTTATATTTAGACACCTAGCTAGCTTGTAATGAATGGCTGACATTAGCAGGTTGTTTCGCTCAGTATCAGTCATTACCTTACAGTCAAGTCGCATTGGCTAACCTGCTAATTTGAAACCATGCTATGATGAAAATTTTCAATAAAAAAAAACATAAAACACCAAAAATGTCAATTACATCTCTTAGACTGGGTATCCAAAAGAATGCTGTTGATGTTTGAGGAAATAAGAAAGCAAAGCTACAGTTTTCTTACAGATTATGGAGCTACTTATTTTCAGAAACCTTCTCATTCCAAACACACCGTGTGCGTTATCATACATTACTATGGAGACTTGGTGGCTGGACCCTGCTGCAACGTTGTTGCTTTCCATTCACAGCATGTGCTGTAGGCTAAATTTGAAGTGCATTCAACAGACATTGTTTCATGCACACTCTTTAGAACAGAGTAGAACAACTATATGCGGTTTCCCTATGAAAAAAGTTGCAGAGATTTTCAAAATCTGAGCCAGAATAACGCTCTGTACTGAGTTTTACTCTTGGAACAGGGTTCCAGGCCATTACAGCTCATTTTCACCTCTAGTGGTCATGCATATTCATAAATCTTTGCATTCTTAATTAGTGTGAAGTTTTAGGGATGCTCCTGTGCTATTTTAGTATTGCTATTTTCTTGGGCCTCACAGTAATATATATAATTTAAAATATTTTGTTTTTCAACGTTGGTTGTTTTTTTATGGTTTAAAATGTGACTTTAATCTTTTAACACGAAAAGTGTCTATTTCTGTTTTGTTAACGTTTTTCTGTTGATGTTATTTTTGAACGCTGTTGTGTTTATTTTGATATATAAAGGAAGTGAAAGAATGTGCCAAAAATAAGAATATAAGTCTATTTTCAGTCAAGCTTTATTGTCATTCTGATTACTAATAAGTCCTGACCTGCGCTCTGGAAGGTGCATCCAGAATGAAAGGAAGCCTTGTGCATATTTTATAGAATAATAGAAAACATGGTAGCGCACAGAAAGCTATGGTTCTATGTGCTGAAATGGATACTGTTGCCAATGGGGACATGTATGCAGTGGAACGCCTCTGGTAGCAGATTTTAGTGGCTTTCTCTTTTTTTGGGGCCCATTGGGTTCATGTGGTTAAAAGATATTAATTTAAGATATTTTTTTCTTTTTCTAATACAGTTAGCATGTAACATTTTCTTTCAGCAAAGGCATACTCTCATTACTTACAGGTTTTGACATAGCAGAAGCAGTGTGTGTATGTGTGTGAATGAGGTGTTACCTTCATAAAATGATACAAAATAGGTCGTCAGAATGATAAATATAAATCCTTCATGCCTATTTACTAGTCTCCCAACAATAGATGCTTCATATAATGCCCAAACATTCAGTGAGCGCATACGCATGTGTGTTGGACAGAGTCTGTTGGCTTGGCCGGGAGTCAGCATGTGTGTGTGTGTGTGTGTGTGTGTTGGCTGCAGGAGCAGATTGGAGCATATTGAGCAGACTCTGACCATGTTGTGGCTCCAGAGTGAAGGAGAAAACAGGACAGTGCCTGGGTCAGAGCAGAGCAACACGTGATGATCTGACACTTAGAGCTGAGTCTGAGGGCTGTGTGTTTCGGTCTGTCTGTCTGACTGTATGTCTACCTTCCTAATCACCATCAGTCTGTCCCCTCTCTCACTTGTTCTCTCTCACTTTCTTTCCCTCCCTCTTTCTCTCTTTTCTCTCTCCCTTTCTCTCCTTCTCTCTTCTTTCTCTCTTACTCTCTCTCTTTCTCTCTCTTCTCCTTTTTCTTTTCAATCTATTTTCTCTTATTCTCTCTCCCTCCTTTCTTTTTTCTCTCTTTCTCTCTCTTGCTCTCTCTTCTCTATCTTGCTGTCTCATCTTTCTCTCTTTCCTTCCCTCTCTCTTTTTCTCTCCGATCTATTCTGTCTCCCTTTATTCTCTTTTTCTCTCTATCCTCTCTCACTCTCTTTTCTCAACCCCTCTCTCTCACTCTCACTTCTTTCACTCTCTGTGTCTTTTCCGTCTACCTCTCGCTTGTTCTCTTTCTTTTGTCTCTCTCCCTGTCTCACTTTTTCTCCTTTTTCTTTTCTCTCTCCCTCATTTTCATCTCTCTCTCCCTCCCTGCTCTGTCTTTCTCTTTCTCCCTCTCTCTCCTTCTTTCTTTCTCACTCTTCCTCTCTTTGTCCCTTTTCTCTTTTACTTTCTCTCTTTTGCTTTTTTTTTCCTCTGTCTCTTTTTTCTTCTTTCTTTCTCTCCCTTTTAATCTCTTTTTCTCTCTTCTCTTTTTCGTTTCCTCTCTTTTCCTGTTTTTTTCTCTCTCGCCCTCTTTTTTTTGTCTCTCTCCCTCTCCCTCTCTCTCCCACTCTTCCTCTGTCACACACACACACACGCACACACACACACACACACACACACACACACTACCTGTCTAAGATAAGAATAGTTGCAAGCTATGGCTGACATCTAATTACCTAGAGGAACGAATTAAAGAGAAGAATAGAGAGAGACGGAGGAAGAGAAAGACATCAGGGTGAAAAAAAAGCAGGGCAGAATTAGAGAATAAATGAGGTGGCTCTGCAGTACAGTAGAGCATTGAGAGTTGTGTGAATGTATGAGTCGGTTGTGTAATGCTGATAAGATCAGGTAAAAGCATCTTTGCCCGTGTAATGCTGCAGTTAAACCTTTAACATTTATTGCTGTAAGGCTAATAGATTGGCATTATATAATAAAACCTTGCACTGAGTGCCTCTGTGTTAAGGAATGAAAAATAAGCCTTGGAGATAAGTCTCCTTTTTTCTTCTCCTGACTGCCAGGGGGAACAGATGATGAGATGAAAGGGTAAAATGATGGGGGGATGAGTGATGGAGAAAGAGATGGAGAGAATGAGCTTTGGCTGAACCCATCATAGCATTATTAGTGGCAGCCAGTGACAGACATACACACACAACACAAGCGGCCTGTCAAATGTCCTCAAAATCGGTGTTTGAATTTTCATTCAGTAAAAATTATTACATGTAAATACGCGTATGATGCATTTGGAAGAAAATATATTGCAGTTTGCAAACGAATACAATTTATACAGCAATTTAAATCAACACATGCACAAACTGATTAATCACTTACCTTCATTTTTCATTGCTTATCCATTTGAACCAGCTTCTTAGCAATAATGCTGCTCAAATGACTGAAGGAAACAGTCATTCATTTCAGTTGGATTCTGCATGTAAGATTATTTCATTTAAGACTGTTCAGGTAAATGTGTATTGGCTGACCAACTGCAGTTATTTTCTTTGCTTTCTGATAGACGTAGGAAAGTGCAGTGCGGTTCAGTTCAGGAAAGTACACAGACTAAGTGGTGACTAACTCAGGGGAGACTGCAATTTCAATGTTAGGATTGTTTTTCAGCAGTGTGTCTGTGCAGTGAAATGGAACAATTTAGTGAAAATGGTAGAAGGAAAAAGTAGAAGATTTGTTTAAACTGTCGACCAGTAAAAGCAGCTCCATTTTGAGCTCCTTTTCTCTAATTCTAGAACCAACTGTGGCCATTTGCTGAGACTTCCTGCTGGTTTGTCACTTATAGCTATCACACTAACATTCACTTTAACCTTTAGAAATCTAGAGTTGTTATTGTAATTTTGTTATAGTATTTACATGTAATTGAACTATTACATGATTAATTTCACAATAAGTTATGCAATGGATTACATTTACATTCGATTTACATTTAAATGCATCTCTGACTTTTTTCTGTTTCGATTTGTAGAAAAGCAGAAACATAGCAAAAATATAAAAGTTATTCTAAAATATCATAATAAAAGTGTCTTCTCTTCTACTTATGAACACAAATGTTATAACCATTGTTTTGAGTTTAGAATCCTTACTTTAGAATTTCTCCACTTGTTTCAGTAAGGTACAAGAGAGAAGTAATTGATACAAAATTACAAGAGCACTGCAAAAGGTCTTTGCTTTGGCCTTATTGTCAGGCTAGGAAGATCCTCCCTGTCCCCTCTAGTTGATGTACAGAATTTGCAGCACCCTCCCAGCTTAGTAGCACCTATTGGCTAGCTAGTGACTGGAATTGACCATGACTAAATTGGGGAGCAAATCAGATAAAAAGAAAAGAAATGACAACATGATTTATCACTGGTTATATTAACAACATCTGTGTAACCACATAAATTATAAAGGAAGAGACTGGT